TTCATGTTTCTTTGCTTGGTCCTGCTTCTGTGCTTCATGAAGAAGTGCGCCTCTGTTTCATTTTTTTTTTCTGTATTGAAGCAACTGCAAGTTTATATTTCATGTTTCTTTGCTTGGTGCTGCTTCTGTGCTTCATGAACTACGCCTCTGTTTCTTTTTTTTTTTTTCTGTATTGAAGCAAGTTTATATTTCATGTTTCTTTGCTTGGTTTTCTGCTTTCATGAACTGTGCCTCTGTTTCATTTTTTTTTTTTTCTGTATTGAAGCAAGTTTATATTTTCTATTTCTTTTCTTGGTTCTGCATCTGTGCTTCATGAAGTGCACCTCTGTTTCTTTTTTAACAGTCACATGGAAAGTGGATCAACGACCAATTCATCAAGATCAAAAACAAGTAGATCAGATGATGAGATTGGATGGAAATATAATAAGTTGCAAGATCCTAATAACTCAAGTCGGGTGGTCTGTAACTTTTGTAATAAAGTTACCACTGGTGGTATTACCAGAGCTAAAAGGCATCAAATAGGGATCAAAGGGGATGTGGCTCCATGTCCTAAATGCCCACCAGCAGTTAGGGAAGAGTTGTGGGTCAATTTACAGCAGAAAACCACAACTAAAAAGTTAGAAAAGGAGATGTTTATGTCTAGTTGTGGTACTGTTGATCTTGAAGAGGAAGATGAAGAGGAAGAATTTATGCCAAGGGAATCAACTTTAACTATTGGTGGTAGAAGTAAAAAGGCCAAAATTGGGCAACACAAAGGCCCCATGGATTTGTACATGTACCAAAAACCTGAGGAAACTCTCAAAAAGAGAAAGCTTGAAAAGTGTAGGCAATCTTCTATAAAAGATTCTAACAAGGAGTTGAGGGCTGAAACAATTCAATATATTGCTCGGTTCTTCTACCAAAATGGCATCTCTTTCAATGTAGCTCGTTCAGAAAGTTTCAAGTTAATGGTAGAAGCAATTGGACAATATGGAAAAAATCTCAAACCTCCTAGTTACCATGAATTGAGGGTTTCATGCTTAAATAAGGAGTTGGAGTATACTAAAAAATTAATGGAGTATCATAGGAAACAATGGCCAAGATATGGGGTCACTATTATGTCCGATGGATGGACGGATAGGAGGCAGAGGAGTATAATCAATTTTTTGGTTAATTCTCCTGCTGGTACAATGTTTGTAAAATCTATTGATGCTTCTGCTTTTGTCAAAACCGGGGAAAAGCTGTTTGAGTTGATTGATAGCATTGTGGAGGAGATTGGGGAAGAACATGTAGTTCAACTTGTAACAGATAATGGGAGCAATTATGTTGCAGCTGGTAAGTATATTTATTCTATTGTATTTGTTATTTTTTTAACTTTAAATTTAATTTATTAATGCGTTTTGTTTTATTTCTCTTAGGTAAATTATTGGAAGAGAAGAGAAAGCACATATTTTGGACTCCATGTGCAGCGCATTGTATTGATCTTATACTAGAGGACATTGGAAAGATTTCAAAGGTTAAGAAGACAATACAAAGAGCAATGAGTTTTGTTGGGTTCATCTACAACCATTCAAGCATCTTAAACTTAATGAGGCGATTCACTAACAAGACGGAGTTGGTTCGATATGGAGTGACAAGGTTTGCTACGAATTTTCTTTCATTGCAAAGTGTGTACAAGCAAAAGGCCAGCCTTCGAAAGATGTTTACATCTGATGAATGGACAAGTAGTAAGTTGGCCAG